TGTTGTTGTATTCAAATCTTTCTTCAATTTCAGGATAACACGTTAAATAGCTACAATATAACTTTAAAGAGATCATTGTTGCTTATTGGATGTCCCATTTTCTAAGATGAATTGTAAATAAATTGTTCTGTGTTGGGAAAGGGCGTTTGATCAGATTTGTCTTAAAGTGATCTTTTGCCTCTCATCTCAGTAATTTCTTTTTATGTAATCTGACATGTAAAGCGTTTAGATTAATGGATTAAAAATAATGACTCACAATGGCATTGTTGAACATGCTATTGAGACTTACTAATTGTAGAGTGGGAAAAAACATCAGTTTGATTAAACAACATATGAGGTACTTGATAATAGACATTACTAGGTGAATAGATATGTGGAAGAGAAAAAAACTGACTTAGACACACTGGGAATTATTAGACGATGGAAGGCCTGCAGGGGTTGTGACTAATTAAACTGTGCAATGCAGTGGACTTCCTAGATTGTGCACTGCATCTTGTGTGTTAGGCAATGCAAGGCAATAAGCCATAACCTCATTAATGAGGTGTAAACCTTATATACAGTTGTGTTAGAACATGAGTAATATATTTATATTCAAGACAGTATGAGTAGTGTTTTGCAGGCTAAAATACCACTTTAGCATATAAAGTGACACCCACTAACCAGATAATAACACCTATCAATTGACACATTTAATCGTTTACACCTACTCCGGTTGCTGGAGTTTTGGTTTGATCGTGAAAAGTATAAATTTTTGCATATATAATATACCTCTGATATCTCTCATACTTACATATTTTCCCTCCAAAATTTAAAAGATCTACAACCCCGCCCCCCCCCCCCCACCATCATCTCCTTCACCTTCTCTTCTCCCTCTTATCACATCCTCTCCACTTTCCTCCTCCCGAAATTACTCCCCCCTCCATTTTCTACTCCCCAAAACTCCCGCCCCCCCCCTCTCTAGCGCCATCTGCCTCGTCTCTTCTCTTCTCTCTTTACTCCCTCTCCTCTTTCCTCCTTCCCAAATTCCTCATCTTCACCTCCTCTCCCTCCTCCTCTGCCCATGTTCCTCTCCTTAACCTCTCTCTATTCTCTCATCTCAGTCTTCTTCTCCCTCTTCGCTCCTCTCCTTTCCTCTCTCTCCTCTCTCCCCTCAAACACTAACCTAAAAGTGGAGAAGGGAGTAGAGGAAGTGGAGGAGGAAAGTAAGGGGTTGTGGGGAGAGAGAGGTTGAAAAGAAAGAGAGTTGGATCTTTATGCAAATGTTTTAATTTTGAGGATAAATTTGTAATTGTGAGAGATATGAGGGGTATAGATGCACAAATCCATAATTTTCTTGCACAAATCAAAATTCCAGCGACTGGAGTAGGTTTAAGTGGTTAACTGTGTCAATTTATACGTGTAAGTGTTGACGGCGTTACTTTTTAGGTTTTATTGGTTAGAGGTGTCACTTAATAGGCTAGAGTGGTATTTTAGCCGTGTTTTGCAGGACACGTCTTTACCAGTAATTCCAGGAGTCGTGGTAATTGCAAATTATTTCTTAATTTCCTCCTGGAATCTTTCTTTTGCCTGAAATTACTCTTTAACATGAAGGAGAATGCGGTGAAACCTTGCAATCAAAGCTCCTGGCTTAAGACTATTACTAGGCGAAGAAACATGTGGATTTGCATCATCAATCTGTTCAGTATGCAGAGATGCAAAGTTGATGATTTGATAATCAATAGGCAAAGACGTATGTGGGCTAGTATCACAGGCAGTTCATACTTCTCAGGCAATTGGTTTATAGTTACATCAAGAATAAAACATTTAGCATGTTATTTAACATACAGCTTAGCTTACACAACAGGCTGCTTTATTACAACTCTAATTTCTTTTTTCCTTAAATTTATTTTTTCTCCCTTTGAGGGTGGTTATTAAAAATATTCTGTTATAACTTTGCCTTCGGTCTCTATTAGGGTGCCTGGGATACTTCCAAGAGCCAGGATTGATACTCAAGGGGGAAGATCTGAGCATGTCACTGCTTCATCCATCAAAGGAAATAATCCATCTACTTCAATATCCTCTGGAGGTATACATCATTATTACTAACTGAACTATGTTTTCCAGTTTTGAAATCTTTAAACTAAAATTTGTGTGACAATCAGAAGGGAGAAGAGAACCTGGAGGAAATTCTTCAGAGGCAACTGCTCCTTCAAACAACAAGAAGGAGATGAGATTTCGACAATCATCCTCAACCAGCGATGCCCCAGAAGCTTCCTTCATTGAAATGCTGAAGAGCACCAAGAAAATAGTTCCTCCCGAGCCTGAAGCTTCCACTGAGTCTCAGGATGCTGGTGTGAAGGGTGGGAACAGCAAGAAGAAAGGGAAGAAAGGGAGGCAGATTGACCCTTCTCTTCTCGGCTTCAAGGTACATAGCAACCGTATCATGATGGGTGAGATCCATCGTCCAGAGGACTGATCCCATATCGCTAACAATTTATTTCATATTCTTTTTGGATTGTAAATGTGTTTTTTTGTAAAGTATACAGGCTGTAGTATTGCTTTTTTTAGGATTTTTGTTCTCATATTGGCTGTAAAACTGTAAAGAAGTTTTGGGTTCAGTTTTGGTTTTGAAAGAGCCCTTGAAGAGTGATCAAAATGCAAACACCTGTGAAGAGTGATCAAAACGCACACACTTGAATAATGTTTTGTACAGGAAGGGGATTCTGTTAATACAAGTGACCCCGGGGGTTTGGAAGGGTTTGGAAGCGGCTCGCTTTCGTAGTGTTGAATTTCATCTTTTGGTAAAGGCTTCAGCTGTTTGTGGATATATTTTAGAGGAACAAATTTTTGAAATAAATCTATTTTATTTTTTTATTTAAAAGTCTACCCAGTGTCTTTTTATTTATCAAAACCGACCCATTTCGAGCCACGTCAGCAGTGTGGCCGCGAAATGGGTCGGTTTTTCTTTAATTGACGCCGTTAAATAGTTGGGGTTGGCAACCCCGACTATTTAGTTATGTCGAGGTTGCTAACCCCGGCTATTTAGCACATGTACAAGCTAAAACAGTCGGGTTTTCTAACCTCGACTAATTTAGGGCCCTGTCTAATTGGGTCGAATTTTTTAAATAAAACATTGATCGGGGTTGGAAACCGCGACCATTTTAAAAGCCCATTACGAAATGATTGTGGTTCCCAAACCTGACCATATGGCAGAGAGCTTGGCCCAGTCGCAGCTGATGAAAACGGCAAAGGACAATAGTTGGGGTTCTGAACCCTGACTATTTGTCAACTGGGCTCGCCGTCTATATAAAGGTTACCGCTTCATCTCTCTCATTCCCACTCGTTTCCAGTCGCTGCTCTCTCTCATTTCCGTCGTTCTCCTCCTCCTATACTCCGTTTGAGCCACCAATTGGGGATTTCAACACAATTTTTCGTCGGAATCTCATCTTAGAAGATCTATCAAGTAATTTCTCTAGATTTTCTCCTATTTTAACATGTAGAAAATATAGGGTTTTTTCCTCAATAATGAATTTCTAGGGTTTGAACTCTATTTGTAGTGGTTTAATTAGACTATTTATTCTTGTTGTAGTTCAAATTAAACATTTGGGGCATAAAATACTCAATTTTAGGGTTTAGGATTTGGGGGTCAATTTTAGGGTTTTGGATTTGGTGGTTTACGGTTATAATTGGGGTTTAGGGTTATAATTGGGGTTTAGGGTTGTAATTGATAATATTTTTTAAATTTATTGTATTTAAATGATATAATTTTATTTTGTATAGGTTGAACAATATGATTTTTATTGCTTGCTCTTATGGTGGAACGATTAATTATGGAATGAATAATATGCCAATGTACGTCGGAGGGGTGACAATACCATTAATGATATTAGAATCATATAGTTACATTGACTTGGTTAATGAATTGCATCGAGTTACGACAATTGACCCACGAGAGTATCGACTAAAAATAATATGCAATTGGCCGATAACTTATGATAGAACGTCCGCAGTTGAGATCTCAAACGATCATTCGATGAGTATTTTGTTTAATTTGAGCAAGTCACAACCAACGGTAGAATTGTTTATTGAAACGGTGCCACATAGTACGGCCCAAATATTCAACCCTCCAGGAGAATTCTCACGCATGTTAAATTTGGGAGTTGAGTCTGAAGGTTTTCTTTCTTCTTTGAGTGAATTGCAGCAGACTCAATTTCAATATCACAGTGGTGCACCTTCATATGATGGAGGCCCGAGACAAACACATTGTATTACACATACGCTTCTGAGTGATAAAAAAAAAGCCACTATAGAGATTCATATAGTCAGTTTTTTCATCCTATTGTAGATAGTCGTTACTGGCCACCCTATAACGGGCCACATGTGTTACCTCCTGAATTTAAGAGACAAGCCGGACGTCCGAGATCAACACGCATAAAATCTATGATGGATGAAGGTCGGGAAGGAGTTCCAAAAAAATAGGTGTGAATATTGTAGACAACCGGGCCACAGGAGATCTCATTGTCCCACCAATCCAAATAGATAGCAATTAATGGGTACTGAATTTTTATTAATCATTCTACTTCATTTATATACGAAATTTGAACTTTTATTTTACTTCATTATATTCTACTTCATTTATATCATCACATGTGCAGATATGGAGGCGGGTCCATTGACATATGAGGTCCTTTATGACCAACCTCGACATCGATCCGCAAAGATTGACACTGGGGAGGTAATTAGATTGATAGTTATAAATTACATATTCAATCATATCAATTATTCCAAGTTATTGATTGTTACTGAACATTTGCATTGTTTATTATATGCAGGCCCCGAGCATTACTATCGTTGATCACACTCGTGCACACTCGAGCTGGGAGTTGACTGATCCACATGTCCAATATTATGTCCATCAAGCAGGCTTCTTTGAGTGCTCACAAATTAAATGGGTGAGATTTGATTGGGCTCTCTTGACGGCACTGGTTGAAAGATGGATGCCCGAGACAAACACATTCCACATGCGCCAAGGAGAGTCGGTGATTACATTACAGAATGTTAGGGTTTTGCTTGGACTCAGAGGGGATGGCGATGCTGTCACAGGTAGCGACGACTTCGACTGGCCAGGGAAGTGTGAAGCATTGCTGGGTCAAGTTCCTCACATGAGGGGTGAAAGGATCAAGCTTGAATGGTTGAGAAACAATTACATGAATGTTCCGATCGATGAGATCGAGGAGATCGTCAAGATGTATGCCCGTGCATACATACTTCACATGATAGGTACTATTCTTTTCCCGGATTCCACGAAGGATTCGGTGCACGTGAGGTGGTTGCCACTCCTGGAGGATCTTGTGGATTATGGAGGATTATCATGGGGGAATGCCGTGTTAGCGTATCTGTATAGGGAGATGACCAACGTGGCTCTTGTTCAAAACAAAGAATTCAAGGGTTGTCTCACTCTGCTACAGATATGGTCTTGGGAGAGATTGCATTTGGGTTGCCCAGATTTGAGAGAGGCACGTGCTCTCGATGGCCATACTTCGTTAGGCTGCAGGTATTACTAAGTTATTTTAAAAAAATATATGATTACATGTAATTTTGTATATTTATTTCAATTAATACTAACTCGTTGTATATAAATTAGATGGAATGTATCCAGATCTTAGCATACCTCACCAAAGGGTCATGAAAACTTCTATAGGAATGAGCTCGATCAAATGGAGGACGAACATGTATTAAATCATAATATCTAAAAAATTTCAATCATTACATCATTTATTATTAAAATCTGCTTTATTTTATCTTTTTATAGGTCAAGTGGATGCCATATGAACTAGTTTTAGAGTCACTACCAGATATATGCAGAGAAGAGCCGGATGTATGGCGTGCTCGCGTCCCGATCATATGTTTTGAGATTGTCGAGATGCACGTGCCCGACCGTGTGCTCCGACAATTTGGGCTACAACAACATATCCCGAACCCTGTGGAGATAATAGAGAGAAATCCCAGAAAAGGTGCACATCGTCAAGATTGGGAACATATTCACAGTGCTTACATCGGGAGGTGGGATTACAGGGAAGAACAATTGGTGATGGAGAAGGCCGACACACCTGACCTAGGTGTGTATTTGCGATGGTATTGGGGGATTACTCGCCGGTGGTATTTCAGGAGAACAAAACCCCTAAGGAGTACATACCAAGAGGCCCAGTTGAGAGAGAGAGTTGGTAAGTGTATAAGCAAAATATACAGTTATCTTGTGAGTTTTATTTTATTATCATCCAAATCATAATAGCTTTCTTGGGGTTTTTATCTTATAGGTACAAGAGCTCGAAGAACTTTCTACTATGGCACATGATGCAATCTGAACGACTACCGAGCCAGGGCTGAGGAACACGTTCATTCGCATGATCAAAAAGATTCGGTTCGCTCTGCAGAGGACGCGTAATGCAAGACGTGATGGACGTGAGGAGCGACCAATTGAGTACGGTCGTTGACGGTTCCGAGGACACACGGGGGCAGGCTCAAGCGGTACACATGATGAAGCTGGCGGCTCACAGCAGGCCCAAGCCGGATGTTCACACTCGGTTCGAGTCGGTGAGGATGTCATGCACTCCCAACTTCACACACAACCGGACGAGGAACTCATCCAAGCTCACGTCGAAGGTGAACGTGTCAGGGGGAGAGGGAGGGGGAGAGGGGGAGGGGGAGAGGGAGAGGAAAGGGAGTTGTATCCGATTGAAACATAATATTATGTATCTGATTGAGTATTGATAGGATGTTTGTGTTTGAAACTAAATATTATGTATTCGATTGAGTATGGATTTTCAGTTGAGATGTTTGATAGGATGTTTGCGTTTGAAACTAAATATTATGTGAATTGCATGGTATGTATCCGATTGATTATGGATTTTCAGTTGAGATTATTGATTGGTATGTGTATTATTGTGATTGTGATTGCATTGTGGATTGATATGTAACAGCAGGAGTTTGAATTTCCAGCTGAAAGTGAGTTTGCCAAATGGTCGGGTTTGGGAACCCCGACGAATTAGACAGAGCACTAAACTAGTCGGGGTTGGCAACCCCGACTAATTTAGCTTGTGCATAACTAAATAGCCGGGGTTGCCAACCCCGACTATTTAGCGGCGCCAATTAAAAAAAACCGACTCATTTCGCGGCCACGCTGCTGACGTGGCCCGAAATGGGTCGGTTTTGATAAATAAAAAGGCACTGGGTCGATTTTTTTAATAAAAAAATAAAATAGGTTTATTTTGAAAATTTGTTCTATTTTAGAGTTGTATGCGACTGTATTGGTTATATGTAACTAGAGATGAAAGTTAAGCTTGTGTTACGTAGGGAACATACATACGTGTTGGTTGATTATGATAATTATTACTGATAGAGCGCATTAGTATAGAATTTACCATGGTACCCCAAAACATCCGCAAGTCATTAATTTTTTTATATGATGTTGTCATTAGATTCTCTGTACAAAATGTTTTGTGCATCTTAAAATAGTGATCGGTCAAGTGTTTGCCAAAATGTTGATATCAACGTTACGAGTTCTTGGGTTTATAGATCCAGCGGTGCTCCAGACACAGGTGCGAACATATTTATTTTGGCGAAGGTTGGAGATTATGGAAGGCCTTATGTGGCATGACTTGTGTTTGAAATAGCTTGCGCTCTAATTCTTTATCATTTCATGAATGATTTTGATTTAATAGTACAATAACTGGGAGTGAAAGTAAAGTTTCAATGTGAAGATTGCATTTAAGTTTTACTCAAATTGGTATATACTTACCAGCTCTACTTCTTCCTTGTTTTTTTCTACTAGTTTTTATGCGCGTGCATTACACGTGATTAAATATTATAATTATTTATTTTTAGTTTATTTCCTTACTAAAATTTGTTTTTCGATTTTAATTTAATAGTTTTTGCTCTCTTATGTCTCTAAAATTTAATATTGTGATTACTTATCTTCTTTAATGTTTGTTTGAATAGGCTACACTCAATTTTAAGTTTCATGTTGATAATTAAATTGACATGAAACCAACATGAAGCCAATTTGAATATTCATGTTATTCGAATTAATATTGAATGAAGCTTTTAACTAAGTAAGTATAGTGTTGCAAATGTAAAAAATACTTGAAAATAGCATTATAATAGCAAGAGGATAGTTAAAGCCAATAAGCCTAGACAATTGATTAGAAGTAGCTAAAATGGCACAAAAGAGAATATGAATTTTATTCCTAATCATTGATAGACTTCATTAAAAATCATAAACTAAATATTAATGCTAACTCTACAAATGAAAAATCATAAAGTAAATATTAAAAATCATTGTATTGAAGATTATCTCGCTTCTAAAAATTAAATATATCAAGTAAAAAATTAGATATCAAATTAAAAGTATCAGTTAGGTAAGTAGTCCTTAGTCGTACTGAAGATTATCTCGCTTCTATAAATTAAATATCATTATCAAGTAAAAAAATTAGATATCAAAGATGTGTCAAGTGTGAGCCGCGATTCAAGTGTGCGAGTGATTTATTTTCTTTTTTTCTAATTAAATACAATTTAAAAATTAGAATTTGATTAGAATAGTTCAAACTTTATAGTTATTTGATTAGGATTAGAATAAATCATTAAATACAATTTAAAAATTAGAATTTGATTAGTATTAGGATAGTTTAAACTTTATAGGGGTATTTTTATCTACCGAAAGATTTTCTCGAACTCGAGCTTTTAAAGGGAGTATGATATGATATGAAGATTGTATTTTTTTCATTTTTATTTTCTTTATAGTAAACACCAAACTTGCTTTTATGTTTGTAATGTCACACTTTTTTAAATATTTTGTTAAGAAAAAGACCAACATTTCTATTTTATCCTCAACCAACTCCTTTCTCCCCTCCCCTATCTACCTCCCCATCATCCACCTCCTGTGCTACCTTCCACCAAATTGTCCCTCTTCTTCTCCTCTCTCTCTCCCCTCTCTCCTTTGCCTCCTCAACTCTCATTTTCTCCCTCCTACCATTGTTTTAAATATCAGATATCGCGTAAATATCTGACGACTAAAATCCATATCAGATTGTGGAAATTGGAGATATATCAGGAAAATATAGTAAATATGAGAGTGTCATATCAGATGATGTTCATGCATAATATAAAATTTTAATATGCAATCTAAACATATTTAATGATTTCTAAGTATAAGGAAATTGCATCATTATATATCTTTAGGATAACTAACAAATAATAAAAATTTTCTATTTAATTGCATCATGAAACCTTCAAAGTGTATAACTATAAAAAAAAGACATCGAGAGAGATTAG